CTTGAGAACGTTTTTGAAGCTATATACGACAAATGCTGGGCTGCAACACAAACCAAAATGTGCATCAGTTCACCTCAGGACCAAAACACCTCTGGATAAAGAAACTGTTCAAACTGTCGGACAATGAAAACGTAGAGGATGACAAGGCTGACCTCCTGAAGGAGTTGGAAATATCTTCGCACCATGAAGGTTTAATTTCAGACATTGTGGAATGTCTTCCAATTGATAACTTCCCGCCACTAGAGGATATTTCTAAGCTGGCATCACACATCAGGTCTAACATAATTGATGACTCGTCCACTTTTTTATTACGTTTGGGGCTATTTGATTAAGCTTTTGCTTGAACAGACAACTTACAGCTGTGGCTGTTCTCAGCTGCTATCTGATGAGTCTAATAACTTGACCAGGCCTCACCAGTACTGTCTTGTTCCTAAGGCATACCACGTGCCTGGAAAATTCTTCGGGAACTTAGTACTACCATCACAGGTTGCCTTTCATTTCATTTAGCAACTAGAAAATCACTTTCTTCCTATAATAGAGAGTGTGACACATGTTCGAGGAGTGTGTGCCGCCTTGTATAGCACACTTTGAGGTCTGGATGGTTTTAGCCTTTGCCCAGAGGAGTACCACAAAGGGTTTTTAAAATTGTTTTGCAGAATACGCTTGCGTTGACATGTTTGATTTCATAACCGGAATTTGGACAAAGTTCGGTTGCACTCTTCAGTGGCTAGTAAGAACGAGACAGGTTTAACTGTTAATAGTGTATTAACAGAGGTGGTTGCCAAACCAAAAACAAAAAGTGCTTATTAAGTGGGCGGTGCAGCTTGCTCTCCAAATATTTGTTTCCCCTTTTTCCAGCGAATGTATCACGGCTCCCTAACAAGAATATCTGTCCACTTTCTACAATATTTCGATAGAAAATAGTGTATAGAGGCTAAAAAATATTTGAAAGAAAATGTATCCACTTTTGTATCCACTGTCCATAGTTTTTTAGCCGCTTTTTTCTAAAGCCATATTTCTTTTCTGAACAATTTCGGGGAATGTTTAGGGACGTTGAATCTTGTCAGATTTCGAATAGAGTTCTCATTGTTTGGTAATGGCTCGCCCGCAGTGAGTTCGAGGCTATGCAAATTGGTGTTTTTTTTTTATGTTTGCCGGAAATCGGGAATTTGTACTATCCGGCGTGTGCTTCGCACTGTTATTATGCTATTATGACTGGTAATTATAGCGATGACTTATTTATTTTTGCACTTACTTCCCGTGCCCGAGTCGGCGTGAAAGTGAATGTATCATACAGCATGTTCTGCGTGGAAAGGTTTTGTTAACTTGGTTCCGCTAAGAATATCTTACGAAGTGTACGATATGCCGAAGTCCTTCATACTCATTTATTTTTGTGAGTATCGATCTCTTTTGTATAAAACATACAGAGCTTCTGAAGTAAATCATGTATACATGATTGTGGTCCAATAAAATGTGTTCGAACCACTTACTGTCGTTGACCCCAAAATGCTCCACCAGCCAGGAGTCAATGCGGCGATTGTGTAACTTCAATGCTTTACAATATAAAAAGAACAAGAAATATATATACTTCCGCTTTGTGAAGTAAGTTGAAATATTGTTTGACACATTTTGCACGGACTCTATCGTAAAAAATAAAGCAAAACTGCGTCAGTATTAAAAAAAGAACTAAAAGAAACAGCGGCTTCGGGAGTCAAGAAGCTTCCGAGAGCCGAGCGAGGCGGGGAGGAAAGAGAGAGAGAAGGGTACCGGAGAACCGGAGCAGAAACGCCCAAACCAAAACCGAAACTACCTTGACCGGAAACGGAATCAGATTATACTTAATACCGCCCGCTAGGAGCGCTACTTGTCCCTGGTCTATCTGGGCCGCTGGGGCCTATGGCAGTGTCCGCTCTTTACCTTGTGTACATTACTCTATGGCCCGACCTATAAGATACTCTGATCTTGAGGCGACTCACAGACGTTGCCGCGATGGCACGGGTGCCACTAGAAGATAGAATTAGTATATGTGCCCTGTCTCGGGACGGACAAAGTCAAAGAAGTATAGCTTCTAGATTTGGATATGCACTGAACACTGTAAATCGCATCGTGCGAGCGTATAGGAATGAAGGGCGTATAGCTGATGCGGCGCACAGGCGAAGACCCCGTTCAACGACTCGGCGAGAGGACGAGCGGATCGCTAGTGCAGCTTTTGACCAGCCAAGTATAACAGCAGCAAAAATACGAGGGCAGTTGGGCCTTCAAGTTTCGCTCCGAACCATCAGGCGGCGGCTTCACGACGCAGGGCTTCGGAGTCGTATTGCATGTCGAAAACCGCTCCTGACTTCACGCCACAAGGAGCAAAGAGTTGCATTCGCAGAGGCCCACCGGGACTGGGATGCCAGCGACTGGGCCTCAGTCATCTTCACAGACTAGTCTACGTTTACGTCTGAATGGGACCAGCAGAAACGTGTGTGGCGTCCTATACTTGCAAGCGGTGAGACCAAAAACCACATACCCAACTTTTCTTGGCCTTCTCTCTTCTAGTTGAGTGAATAGGTCTTGTTTTATGTTTATACAGGTATGACCCTCACTACGTGCAAGAAGTGGCAACGAGCGGTCGTTGTTCGGTCAGCGTATGGGGGGCCATAACTGCGCAAGGACTGGGTCCACTCATGCGAATCGACGGAAGGCTGACGTCGGAGAAATACTGTGACATACTCTGTTATAGCTTGCTTCCTTTCGCCTTGGATGGTCAGTTCTCCGACGGCTGCTTTATCTTGCAACAAGATAACAGTCCAATTCACACGGCTGGCCGGGTGCAGAGCCTGCTCGACCGCTTAGGTGTAAGGCAATTGACATGGCCAGCAAGGTCGCCGGATCTAAATGTCATCGAGAACATATGGGGACTAATGAAACGGAATCTCTCGACGCGGGACCTTCATCAGGCTTCTTCAGAAGTTCTTTGGGAAGCAGTCGAAGAAGAATGGACCAACCTCCAGTCCATCCCGAGCCTCACCAGCAACCTCTATGAGTCCATACCCAGGCGCCTTCGAGAGGTGATAATTACTGAGGGAGCGGGAGTGCGCGGTTAGTAGTGTCAAATGCCCACGTTTTTTTTTTCTTTTTTCTTTTAGCTTACTGGAAATAACTCCAGGCTATATGTGATTAGGAATCGCATTATTCTTTAAATAGATTCTAAGACGAATCAATTACTTTTCTTGGTATGAGGAAATAAAGACTACGCTGAAGACAATGTTTCTGTTCTTGCAGCCGCAAAATTCCCGAGCACACGCACACAAAATTATAAAGAGAAAAAACTATCCTGATGCAGTAATTTTTTTTACCTTGGCCGTTCAAAGTATTATTAGGAAAACTTCCAGAGAGAGAGAGAGAGAAGTGTTGAAAGGAAAGGAAGCCTGGAACTTATTAACCACACCGTCGATTGGGGGCAAGCCAATTCCAGGTTGGGGATGGGGAAAGAGGGGATCAAAAGGAAAGATTAGAAAGGTGAAGAGAGGAGAGAGAAGGCATCTTGGATGAAGTCACAGTTACTTGATTAGGTTTGTCCACTACTCTATATTTATTCACAGCACTGTCAGCACTTTTACAAGCGGTCCAGTAGGCAGGTATCTTCCAGGAATACAAGAAGAGAAGAGAATGTTCTTCCGGCATCACGAACGGAGCCGGGGGGGGAAAGAATGTATTCCGTAGTAGAGCGGGCAACTCCCGCGATCTGCAGTTTCTCGAAGAAGATTTTTCTCTCGTCTGCGTAATTGGGACAGGCCCAAAAAAGATGGTCCACATCCTCAAGAGTGTCACAAGTAGAGCAGTTTGGGCTCATCGTTGCGTCAATTCGGTGGATGGCAGATGCAGTATACGCACAGCCTGTGCGAAGCCGGTGTAGTACGGAGGCGCTTGCACGTGGTAGCTTTGTAGGGACGCGTGGGGGTGGTCTCCCGTCAGCGACCCGTGGGTCCGGATGATTCTGGATTATCGCTTGGTGAATTAGCAGCTTGGCTTCATGAATCTTCGGCACCACAATAATGGGAGTACCAAGCTGGTGTGCTGCAGCGGCAAGAAGGTCGGCCGTCTCATTAGGAAAACTTCCATGCTACCATATATTGAGTGCATACCTATAAATGAACTATTAGTCATTCCTAACTTACTTACTTTCTATGATCAAAATGAAACAGCAGAGCGTTTTGGCCCCTTGAGGAACTACAGAAAAAGTTACAAAGAGAAGGCGAAAAATAAAGCGCAGAAAAAATATTGTTGAAAAAAGAGCTTATCTATTATGATAGAAGGCGATTCTAGCGCGAGGGGCATTTGTTTTGACTCGACCTCCCCCGGCAGCGAAATGTGGACTGCTCCCGTAGCCTCTTCCCCAGCGCAAAAAGCGAACGCAGCGCTGCATACGGCAATTGTTCCCCGTGGCCGCTCGCTCCGTTGTCGCAGGTCAAACTGCCTTTGACTGTACATTTTTGTACCACTGACTTCTCATATAGTTCATGAAAGTGGCACATATCCGTACCACCATATTTTTCGCTCAAGGTCAAGTGAATGAAAGGGCGCTAATAACCTTATTTTCCCTTGTGGAAAGGTCCGAAACAAGTTACGCACAATGGCACACGGCATTCTTGACACAAGCAGTATGTGCGGGCCTGTCGCGTCTCGCTGGAGCACCATCCGCACCGCCTCCTGCTCGCACTGCGTTGGGGGTGGTGTTGCTGGCCGGCAAGCCTCTTCGGGGACACCCGTCATCTTACGACCACTCGGCTTCCCGTTCTTCTTGCCTTTGTGGCTGTTTCCTGACTGGTTTGATCTGAAAGTTGTTCCGTCGATCAATTGGCGGCCAAGGGAAAGGCGAAGCAGTACTGCAGAAAGGCGTTGACCACCGCTGCATCGAGTAAGTAATAAAAAATCCTACGCCACCATTTTTCGGAGCGGCGGTCAGCAACGAAGGTTTTACGTTTCTTATCAAATCTGTCAACGCCACCCATTCATTGGTTGTAGTCCGCGATCACTTTCGGACAGCTAGCTCCAACCTTCGCACCACTGGACAGCCTTCTGTTGACTTCGCAGGTCTCCTGTGGGTTGTGGAAATTGGACATCATGTTGACATTGCGGTTGTCCTTCCACTGGTAAGCAGACACTCTGCCCTTTGCGCTCCAGATGAAATCTCCCTTTTGCAGCTTTTTGTCCGTCTTCACCTTACTCGGAAGATCTTTACGGTTGGTACGATGTGTCCCAGCTGCGAGCACGCCTTGCTCCGAGAGCTTCTGCATGAGGGTTGTGGCAGTAAAGAAGTTATCGAAGTACAGCTGCGTACCCTCTTGAACTCCCTCGGACAGTACAAGCACCACATGTTCACCAAGTCCTAGGTCAGGGGGTCGTCTTGAATCCTTCCCTTCATAGATTTGAAACTGAACAAGATATCCAGTTTCAGAGTCTGCACGACACCACACCTTGTACCCTCTCTTGATTGGCTTGATGGGCATGCACTGTTTAAAAGCAGATCTTCTCTTGAATGCAATCATGCTCTCAGCCACAGATTGGTGTGTTGAGGGCCGGTAGTGCTCAGCGAATTGCTTGTTTAGAGCCGACACAAGAGGACGAACTTTGGCAAGCTTGTCATGACCCTCGTCTCTCTTATTTTTTTCTTTGTTTCGGTCATTGATGTGCAGACAGTTCAGTATGGCCTGGAACCGCTTGAACGTCATTACGCGAGATATCTCAGTGACATTGAAGAAAGGGTCACTACTCCAGTAGAGGTAGACGTGATGAGCTAGGTTGACGCTCATCAAGAAGAGCATCCCCAAGAAAGCTTTGAGCTCTTCTTTCGTGACTTCATACCACTCTCTTCTCATTTTTTGACTCGCATAGCGGTTTGTTTCTGCGACGATTATCTCCAGAATGTCGTCCGTGAAGTACAGTTGAAACGCCTGTCTGGCGGTCGTCAGCTCTTTGGAATACTCCGGGCCCACCGTCTTTGGATTTTCTACGAAGTCTGTTGGAAGATTTCGGCTCCACTCTAGACCAGGGTCCTCGCTCTCCTCTTCCATGGGGAGATTATCGTCGTTTTCCAGGTGCTTGGAACGCTGGTTTTTTGGTGTCTTTCGCTGATACGAGGATTTCTTACGTTTCTTTTTTGTGCTGGTAGAAGGCTCCGTGGAAATCTCTAAATATTCAAGCTCCTCAGCTTCGACTGGTGCTAAGTCAGGATCAAAGTCGTCATCGCTCGAGGTGCCCGCTTCTGCTTCACTAGCACACGTGTCATCTGGCAGGCTGAAGAGGAGATCGACAGCTTCATCTTGTGTCAGGCCCCTACCTACACAAATGTAATACAGTCATATACTGGCTGTGCACAAGATCGTGGTGTGCATAAATACAAATCATACGAGTTAGAGTTGTGCGTAAATATACATCCCTACTTGAAAGGGAAATAAATTTGTATAACCTATAATGACTTCTATTTTCTAATTTTAGCACAACAGGGGGTTTTAGGAGACCATTATTGCACTGTGATAATGACACCCCAGAAAAATGCATCGGTTGTTTACATGCCAAACCAACGAAAGGAATACAGCACGCCCGAGCAGAGAACTTGAAATTAAACTTCACTACCCGGAGGCATTATAACGTAAAAGCGAAAATCTAGCTAGCGCTGCATTTTCTCCACAATACTCGGCTGCGCTGCGGGAGCTTTGCGGAAAGGATCCGTCGCCCAGTGCATAGTTTCGGAACCTACAAGGCAACGACGAAACTTGGTGTATCGTTATCTTGAGGCAAAAACAATCCGCTAAAGCTTCACAATAAATGTTCGCCAAAACACGCCTTCGTATAAAGTTACACATTGCTCCGTCGACCACCACGACCACCTACACTGCACAGGAGACACGTTAAACTTAGCATTTCGGAAGCCTCGTACAGCTGTACGCTGCATTTCCGAAGCTTCAGCGAATACTAAGCTGTTCGCAACTTCAAATTTGTAGTGAATGAAAAGAGCAATGTTGAATGCAAGATCGTGTAAACACAGAAGCTTACCTGTCATTGCGGAGCAGCACAATAAAGTGTCCAGTCAAGCAGAAATTTTTGCGCTAGCCGACAGAAGAAGCAACGAAAAGAAACACCTGCGATAAATCTGCCACCTGTCGAAAGCATATAAAAATATTCTGAAAGCTTGCCACAAATTTCACGAGATGGCACCACATTTCAAAGTGGCACAATATTGTACCATTGCCGCGACACTTGCGCCTGAAGACAGATTCGCAAGTGGCACACATGTGTACCGCTGTCTCACAAAGGGTTAGAGTTGCGTGACCCACGTAGTGCGTGCGCCTCATCGCCATGCGCCATCCAAGACCGCGATTTTGGGCTCCGCGCACGCGTAGTGTGGAATACGCAAAGCTAAAGCAAACACACAGCGCTTGCGTTCGCTCGTATAGGCAATACTAAAACTCGCTACTGTTTCTCCGGCTTCCAACGCCAACGAAACGTGCTCCAGTAAGCAGGCGTGTAAGCAGGTAGGCGTTCCCTCGAACTGGAAAGGCTAAAATTGGCAAAACGACGGAGCGTAAAAATGAAACTAACTAAATGTTATAAAAAGATTGGTAATAGAACAAAACAGGTTTTATTTTTATTTTTATTCATTTTTTTTTTTACTTTTGGGCATTTGGTCTGGAAGGATATTGGCGGCGATTTCGGTCGTTTTGCCGATGGTCAAAAGTTGCGACTTTGATAGCAAAATATACTTTACCCACAATTAATGTGATTTTGCGTGGATTTCTGACATTAGCTAGAATGTTTTCATTGATTTCGAGACTATCTTTATATTATTACTTGGTAATAGGCCGATCTCACCAGTCAGTTTGACTACGCCACCGCTGCCGCAATGCATCGAGGGAACTTTAGTCTTTCTGCACGTGCAATAACTTTGCTGGAGCTCTGCGCGTGTGGAGCTCGAGACGGCACGAGCCCTCGCATGCATGGCAGTCTGCCTCCTGCGAACTAAAGTCATGGTGGCTTCACGCATGCGCCAAACGCGTGGTGAGATCGGTCTATTCAAAATGCTGCAATTGGCACCAGTGATGCTAATTAGCACTTTTTGGATTGTCATATTTGTTCACGCGTTTAAGATTAAATCATAAGCAACAAATTATATTAGACCTTAAAAAATTACGTATTAAAATATCAGAATTTTAATATTTTTATTATTAATACAAATCGCGGCAATGTATGCCCCCAATTAACACCAATATCACGAAAATATGACATTTAACCATAATGATATTTAAAGAAAGGTATAATTTTGTTTTCTTTTAAGCTTATGAAAAACTCTGACATCGTTATCAAGATAGACACACAGTCAAACACTGGATGTAACATAAAGTCCTATGCGTCACGTGTTGCTATAAAACACACACAGACACTTCAGTTGTCTGACTCGGATATCGTCTTTGGGTTGCTGCAGTGAGAACAGCGTTTATTAATTTATACGTTTTGTGAACATATTCTAAAATCTGCAATTATTCTCTTATTATTGTGGTGGGAATAATGTTAAATCAATTAATCATCTAAATACAAAAAAACCCATCAAAAAGCCCGCAGTTCATTATTTCCCATCACAATTATCCGAGCGAGAAAAGGCAGCGAGAACGCACAAATATTAGCACTGATTTTTTCAACAACTACAACAACTACAAAAATCAGCCTGGATCGAGCATGCATGTCACAAAATAAAGTTTCCGCGAACAACTTCTCTAACTAAATAATTACGATGTGAGATACATCTTGAGTTATGAAAGAATCCGAAGTTAAAACCTATATCGAGAAATTAAATCTAAAATAGAGGTTAGTTTCGGTTTCGCTCCAGAAATAAAACGCGCATCCTTGCTTAAATATTACGCTAAACACCGTTCTTGTTTTCAGGGTAAAGAGGTGACCTGCGCTAATAACAGCCTGGCTTTCTTGTATTGACAGAAATAATTTGTGTTGCTCAGTGAAGCCAGCACACTAGACAGGCTCAACAGCGGCACGCATCTCCCACCTTCACTATAACCGCCATTTAGGAAAATGAGTGGCGCCACCTATAGCTAGCTGGAGTCGCGAATAGCGGCGCCGCCGTCGGCGTTGGCGTGGGCGTAACCGCCCCGCTAAATTTAGCGGGAAATTGAAGTGGTGTTGAGGTCACGTGACGTGAATTTTCCCGCTAAATCTAGTGGAGTAACTAAATTTGTTCATGGGTGACGTGACACGAAGCCACATTCGACGTCACTTTCCCCACTAAATTGAGCGGGTAAACTTAACCTGCTAAAATTAGCGCCGAAATTTCCCCGCGAAATGTACCGGGAAAATTTTCCCGCTACATTGAGCGGGGAAACTTTCGCTAAATTCAGCGGAAACTTTAGCGGGGAAATTTAACGGGAGAAGGAGAGGAGGAGGAAGAGGAAAGGAGGAGGAAGAGGAAAAGAGGGGGAGGAGGGGAGGGGGAGGAGGAAGAGGGGAGGAGGAGAAAAGGAGGAGGAGGAGAGGAGGAGGGGAACAAGAGAGGAGGAGGGGAAGTAATAATCAACTGAGAAGTCAATAGCTCATGGAGCCTTGTGAAACCGAGTATAACAGGTCCTGTTTTGGCCAACGGGCTCATTGAGTCACTCAGATAATAATCTCGATCAAATACAAAATACACTGGACACAAATTTGAATTTCTATGCAGTTAAAACGCGCAAAACCGAGTCATTTAAAAACATATTGATATACTGATTCCCTGCACGATAACAGTGATCAGATTTTAAGAAAAGTGGCGTGACGCCAACCGAACGGAACAAACGACCCATGACACCAGTGTGCACCAGCACCGTGTGTGGAACGTGTCTTCGACTGGTATGTTTTGCCGTGTCCAAAACTGTGGTCTATAAATTTCCACCTGATGGTGTCAAAAATGCATTGCTCTCACCTGCCGCGATCCAGGTCATGTCAGAGCAGCGGTGGCTGATGCGGAAGACGCCTGGTTTGCGACAGGTCTCTCTCCAGCCTGACATTACGCGAAAGCTCCGATAGCCGAGAGTCGGGAAGCCCCGACAACAGCGGTATGCTTGCGTTCTCTCGCGATCTGTTTTCTGGAACCTATGCGCGTAACCACCAAGGTTACGGCATTGTACGGCATGACGCTCTGGCCTTTGTGACGTCATTTGTTTTTACTTCGGAACCACTTCCGGATGCATGGGTGAAATGAGACGCCGAACACACCAGACGAAGATGCCTCTCAGGCACGGTGACAACAAGCACTATTCAAGAGATATGTATGGCGTCCAGGAGGGCTATGTTGCGCTTTTTGCACTCCCAGGAGACTTGGAAGAGGGAAGTGACGTCAACGATACAGCAAACGCAGATTGGATGTTGACAGACAAAACAAAATCAACATCCAATCTGCATTTGCTGCGTTGTTGACGTCACTTCCCCCTTCCAAGTCTCCTGGGAGTGCAGAAAGCGCAACATAGCCTCCCAGGTATGCAGTGTCGTGATTGAGGGTTCCGACGAAGGCTCCCAGCCCGGCGACGCTACCTTGTGCCGGGTAGGAGACAGGATCGAGGAGCCGGGAGGCGACGAGCTCAGCAAAACAGAACACTCTATATTTACATTAATTACAATATCGTTTCAGTGTTCGTACCCCAACTTCACGGGTGTCCTTCCTTTATATATCCGCCTCGCCATCTCGTCGTCCACTGGCTTGTCCAATCGCAGGGGCCTACGTGGTCCTCGGCAGCCAATGCGGAAGAAGTTCGTGTGCCAGCGGCCAGCCAATGCCGAAGAAGTTCGTGTGCCAACGGCCAGCCAATGCCGAAGAAGTTCGTGGCGGGTCTCTCGGCCTGGTGGCTCGGTCGCTGAAGAGTCACCCACACGCACACGCAGACACGGACACCCAGCTTGTACAAAGGTTGCCTCGAGAGCCCAGTTCTCCAAAGCTCCCGCACGAGCCTCCGGTCGGTGCGAGAGCGTGCTTTTCTCTCGTAAACGTGGTACGGGTGTGTCGTAGCCTTTCACAATAGCAGGTGCAGAGCCAGACTCTAGTTCTGCACCTGTATATCTTCGACTCTTACATAACAAGGCTGTAGTGCTGAATGTTATTCTTCAGCTAAAAACGCCAAAACTGGGCACGGATTGGGCACGATTGCCGCATCAACGTTCGACAAAATATGGCGCTCAATCGGTGGTGATTGCTTACCGATTAAACGCGAGTTTCTGCTTAACACTGACGCAGTACTCGTGCCCAAACCGTGCCCAGGGTGTCCAACCAGAAACAGGCCGAAAACCGGAACCGAACCGTTATTTTTAGCCAATTCGGAACTGAACCGAACCAAAATCTTCGCCGGCACCTTGGAACTGAAAAGGAACTGAACCTGAAAAAAATATGACGGTGACCGGTTCAAAATTGTCCGTCGTGAATATTTTTGTTTTCTAATAGAAGCACCAAATGAATATTTGGGAACAAAAAGTTGGCAGCTGTATTTCTAGGTATTGATCAAATCTGCATTTACATAATTGCAATGTGGGTTTTCGTGGCGCGTTTGTATTGAAGCTTTGATTAGTCATGTGTCACGTGGTCACGTGAGGTCATGGGGTCAATTCATGCTGTTAAGTAATTTGCAACTAATGTCACGTCGCGTGACGATGTGGCGTCATGTGACTGATCACTGCATCAAGTCGATTTAAATTAAAAATGTCACCAGATTTATTAACGTAGTTGACACCGTGGCGTAAGTTGACGTCACGACTTCGCACTGAGAGTTCCGTGACACCATGACGTAAGCGATATTTATGACCCCGAGTTGAACGCTCGGGTTTAAGACAACCAGCTTCGCCAAACATTTGGGTAACGGCTCGTGTTCAACTAAATATGTTAATAGCCCAGTTCTAACAATATCTAAAGTTCTTCCAACGCTCTATGCTTTGCCGACCCCCGCGCATGACTATGATAAACACTGACAGTATATGATTAGCGTCGTGTCACGTGGCTTCTTGCTCTAATTGCGAGTAGAGAAGGGGAAAGTTTTT